TTTGTTTTGACATTCCAGAGCCTTCTAATTGAATTTGTTTTGCTCTCGTTCTGTGGCTGACTGGGTGACACTGCCTAACCGCTTGCTTCAGTTGCCACCCAAACACAGCTTAGAGAATGGAGGGAAGGCAGATGAGTTTCTGGGGCATACATGTGGCTCGTGAGTGATCAGCGGTCAAAAAGCAGTTTCCAAATAATTCTTTGGAAATAATTTAATGGGAAAAAGTAATGGATAATTACTGGAAATGAAGTGTGGTGCTGCATTTTGACCATCCCTGTTACATGGTTTGTGTCCATAGTCATTTTGAGGGGATGTGAATGACAAAGTCTGTGTGTATTTGTGCTGGGCAGGGGTGCCTTGTAGTTAACTTCAGTGTGAAGGAGAGGGAGAGAAAGCAATGATAACATGTTATTTTCAGTATTTATATTGTGTCATCTCGCCTCCCACCCAATTCCTTCAATTGTCTCCTAGATTAGTACCAACTATTGTTTCTATGAGTGGTTATTTTTTTTTATTTGTTTGTTTGCTTTTGAAATTTCGGTTGCCCTCTTCCCCATTGCCCACCTTCCCCCACTTTAAAGGAGAAATAAGAAAGCAGAGTGCATTGTTTAATAGTCTGCAAGTGTTCCAGCAACACAGAGTCCTCGTGGAGAGAAAGAAAACTATGCCAGAAGTGACTGAGCCTTTACCAGCAGCTGCTGGTGCAAAAGATGCTTCCCCAGTTGCGGGTATTTAAGCAGCAGCAGGCCCATACTAGCCACGTTCGGATGGCCCAGCTGTATTTCTGCCGTTCAGGAGGGTTTGTGTGCACCTGGGTCGGGCCACACCCCACTGGTATCAGTCAACAGCAGATCCTGCACTGTTTTTACTTCTTCTTCTTCTTCTTTTTTAAATTCATGATATCCCTGGAAGCTCAACTAAGGAGTGTCCACTGTAGGTGCATATGTGTGTTTAAGGTTAGCGCTCTTTAAATGTCTGCCAGAAGTTTTATTCGAATTTCTGATCCCTGAAGGCAGCTAGACCGAATCATTCTAGGTTTTCATAAGTTGCCTCCTGTGATTCATTGTCAGCTCATACAGCCCCATGCAGCACTCAGTCCTGTCCACTCAAACAGTTAACATAGCTGTAGCACAGGATCAGGATTTTTTTTTTCCCTCTTGCCTTATATTTAAATTGTTTTCTGAGGGGGAGAAAAAAAAATCAAGAATAAGCTTCAACTCCCAGATAAGACAAAAGCCCTTGTAGCTACTCTTAGCCCTCAGAAATGAATTTTTATCTTCAGGAGGGTGAGGTGGGTGTTGGGACTGGGGGAGGGAGGTGGGGGGACGACAAAGTTTAGTTTTCGTGGAACGTTCTCAATGAGGGCCCTATAAATATTAGACGGCTGTAGTTCAAAACTCACATGACTGTTTTAAATACTATTGATTTAAACCACTGGCTAGATTTTATGAATCAAAGTGCAATTTCTAAGCTTTGGCCATATTTCTCCACGCTAACCCACTCTCTCTCGTGTGCCTTTAGCTGCTTTCCAGACATTCAACACAGGATTAAATGATAGCAGTTACAGTGATCAATAGGTGAGGGCTGCGACAATCACTCTTGCCGTTAATGACCTCAGTAGTAATGGGTAATAAAGTGTGGGCTGTAATAGCCCCTCGCTGGTACTGCATGCCCTTTGATTCCTAGTATTAGTAGGGACTAGCTACACAAGAAAGCTGGACACTGGGAATTAAGGAGTGGATATATAGGCCATAATTCTTAACTATTTAAAACCTTAAACTATGCTCCGATTTTTTTTCCCTCTCTCACTCATTTCTACTTTTTGTGAAACCTTGCTACAACCTCCTGTCCTGATATATGGGAGCAGTAACTTGAGGTGTGTGTGTGTGTGGCTGGGGGAGCCGGGATATGGGGGAACACTAGCTACCAAAATCGGTTTTACTGCATTTGTAAATGAAGCTCCCTGGCCTACTTTGGTGGCTGGGAAGTAACCGGTGTGAAACTGTGGTTTCAGATAGTAAAAGCAAAGTTCAAGCCATCAGGATATAATGGCCCACTTCTGATTACTCAGGGACGGCTCCACTAGCTGGGAGGGTTCCTCAGGCTTCTTGTGCCTGGCCCTGGCTGGGCTGCGCCTGCTGCTTGAAGCATTTTATTACTCATCAGACCCTCCATCAAAGTGTCCAAAGGGAACAAGCCGGGGAGAGTCAAGTTCATTCTACTGTTCTGCAGTTCGGCTGCCAACAATGAAGAAGTAACTGTGGGAAAAGGAACTGGAGACCATGGGCTCTCTGCAAGGATTTGAAAATTACCTGGACCTGTCAATCTTTCGCTGGTCACGCCCCCCCTTTTTTATTGACAGTCAACGGGCCAGGGTATTTCTCATTTAAAAAGCCACATACTATTTTACCAGGCTTAAAATTAAGATGCTTTAAAAATATATGATAAAAAATTCAACAAAATGTACAAATTGCCTACAGTGATTTAAATCAACTTTGCTAAAGCATAATAGGCTATAGAATACACTCTTTATCCAGTTAGAAGAGATTTGACACTTGTGAATCTACGTGGCCCCCGTAGTGTTTCCATCAGCCCCCTAAATTTACCTGCGTCCCTTTGCAGGGGCTCCAGCCCACTTTTAGGAACGACGGTGAAGGGATTGTTTCTGTACTGTTTCTCTGCCACTGTTGTCTAGGTTCCTGCCCATCACCAGCTCAAATTTTACACCACCCTGTTCCTGTCTGTCTTCCCGTCCATCGCCATTAGACATTTGGCTCACGCCTGTTTGTGTTGTACGCCATCCAAGAAATGCAGAGAGAAAAAGAAACCTTCATTATGGCTCCTTTGTTTGCTTCGGGGAGCCTCCTGCATGGCCATGCGACTCTCAAGGAGTAGTAAACTTCTATTGTGATATGTTGACTTCAGGAGCTCCAGCGATCACGATTGGTACCCAGTGCATACTTTAAAATTCAGGAAGTTTCTTCTGCATGAAGACAAAATCGACTAATTGGAATTAGTGCGTAGATGGTTAGATGTTTTGATAATGTCTTCTTGGCGTTTGCCCTAGACTGTGCGCAAGTTCAGTGTTCCAATCTTTGGTGATATTTCATGCTGCGAATTATCTTTTTAAAAGGATAATTTATCCATTCATATACATCTGTCCCTTTTTGCATATAAAAATATTCAGACATGCCCATCTGTTTTAAATTACAGTGTAACTACATCTACACTTAAAAGACCACTGCAATAGGAAGAATTCATGGATGACCTCCCTGAGTTGGGTTAATGAAATTTTTTGAGTATTCTAGCTAGTGTTTTCTAAACATACGAAACTTGCACCTGAATCTCCCCCAACCTCACCCCAACACACAACATGCCACAACAACAGTAGAGGATGCTCACTGTATGTGAATCTGACCTTCAGGAACCATTTTTAGTTCATCAAAATTAGTGATGCTGAGAAATCGGGACATCAGTGCATAATGAGTGTGAAATTAGGAATGAGAGCTCGCTATGCAAATGACAGGGCAAGCCATGTGAAAAAGTCAAGATAAACTGCATATTAAGACATTATGTTACATAAAATTAACACTCCGTTTCTCTCTTTTGCTTACTGTTCCTCCGAAAGACTTTTTTTAAAATTTCTTTTATCTTTTGATCAGCCATTGTCTGCAGGATTTTTTTTTTAAAGTGGCACACAGGCAAAGTGCAAAACATATTATTACCTTTTATTGTAATACATGAGATGACAGCAGACCCTTTTTAGCAAAGTATATATCCTTTACAGCTTCTAGCTTCCTGCTGGCACATTTGTTAAAAAAAAAAAAAAAGAAAAAAAAAACCAAAGGAAAGCAAGATGCTTAAATATTACTCTTAGACATTTGGCTCTTGTCTTTTCTTTTATTGTTTTTTTTTTCTTATCTTTTTATGGGGGGGTGATTTTTCATGAAGTAGTCTTCTTGGATTACGGGGACTGACAAAATGGTTCTCATGTAGTCTGAAAATTAAGCACAAGTGCAGTGATTATTTTGAATAGCTAAATTACATTCTAGAAAGCTCGCAGAATTCGCAGCATTGTCATTAGGTATCCGCTTGAATACAATTTGTGTAACCTTGGCCAAGACAGCCTGTCATTTTAATGTCAGTGTTTTATCTGAACAAGACATCATCCTTTCAGATACAGTGTGCAGGTTCCTTGCAGAGATGCCCGTGCAGAAACGTGTTAACAGCTGCAAATACGAAATGCTATCAAGTTCATCACTGTAGCTGTTTGTCACTGAAATGTCATGGAAAGCGGCTTTTTACTGGTATCACACGTAATATGAAAGAATTGAGACATCTGTATGCTGGGTGAATAAGGACGGGTAAAAGGCGTCTGAGGAAGGGGCCACGTTTTAAGTCCAGAAGGTGTGTCCACGATTCTCTCCCCACCGCCTTCCTCTGCACCACCTGAGCATCCTGGATGGGTCTGAAAATCACTGTCCAGAGGGAAGTGGGTCGTACCAGCTGCAGCTGCAAAACTGTTTGTTCCTCCTTAATGTCCTAAAACAAAACTGAAGTCTAGGTTAACTTCTCAAAGCTCTTATTGACTAGAGGTCTGTCAGTAATGTTGGGTCTGCCCCTGATCCTGAGAGCATTTGGTAAGGTAGAGATCTGTTGTGAGGAAGGGTAGGTCTGCCCCTGATGCTGAGAGCATTTGGTAAGGTAGAGATCTGTTGTGGGGAAGGGTAGGTCTGCCCCTGATCCCGAGAGCATTTGTTAAGGTGTGCCTCCTTCTCTGCTTGTGAAACCACCCAGGGTGCACGATTTTCTTTTCCATTTCTTGACTTGCCCGGCACCTGTGCTGTCCTGAGTTTGGTACTTAGCAACAGCGTCACAGTAAAATGGATACTGCTAATTCCACAAGGGTTAATGTAGAATCTGCGGTTGTATCTCTTCACCTGGGGGGCTGAGGGTGTGTGTCTTCCTGGTTCCCGACTTACCCTTCGTTAATGTTCTAGGTCCCCGTGTCAGTGGCTATGATGACACCCCAGGTTATCACTCCCCAGCAAATGCAGCAGATCCTCCAGCAGCAAGTGCTGAGCCCCCAGCAGCTCCAGGTTCTCCTCCAGCAGCAGCAGGCCCTCATGCTTCAACAGGTAATTGTCGTCCTGCCCACTCCGCAGGAGCCAGAACCCCACATCCACCCAGCCGTTTACCTGTGGAAGAATTACCGTGGCAGGCTAAGTGGCACAGAACCCCACCGGGCCCCCGAATGATAAGTGTAACATCCGTGCCACTGAAGGAGCAGAATGATGCCACAGGTCCAGGCCTTGGGTCTGGAGAGTGCCCTGTGGACTGATATTAGTGCTGTGATTGGACTTGATAAGGAACCAAAATCTTTCAGATTTACATGGCTTTGCACTCTTATTTGGTAAGCCTAGAGGCTTCTGAATGGCATGAATCAAAGCAACATGAGGTGCGCATTGGAAACCAGTTTGTATAGACAGCTCTTGAAGTCCCCATTTCAACTCCAAGGCTTACCTTAAAAAATTTTTTTCTTTTCTTGAACGTACAAAAAAAAAACATTTTGGAGTTCATTAATTTCAAGGCACAGAGTTTACTTTTTTCTGCACGTACTGATGCTCAGATAAACTTGTGGCTGCCCTTGGGTCTTGGGGACATAATCCTCTGACTGGAGAGGCAGCCTGAACCCAACAGATAAGGCTAGCTGCCACAGGGCTAGAAGTCGCTGATAGAGAATGGTGAGGATGGACTCAGGACGTTCCCAACATCGTTGAAGCATACAAGGGTGGGACCCTCCTTGCCCCTCCCCCTGTAATTTAGAAAGCCTGCACTAGAGACTGACCAGACTCTGCAAGGGCGTCGTGGCTTTGTTGTACAATCAAAGGTCATCCCTTGCCTTATTTTAATTAATTTGTGTGGAAAATGGTATGTTTTTCATCAGTTCATTTTTGAGATTACTCCTCAGACCTTAATGCCAAGAATAGTCAGTGTCCGTGGAATTTATTGTCAGGTTTCAAAGTAAAAGGTCAGGCCCTTGCAGATAAAAGGATGCTATTTTTCAAGGCACAGTTGGCGCGTGGCGTGGATGGGGACAGTGGGCCTTGGTCTTCTGTTACTTACCGTCCCCTCCTCTCCCCCTTGTAGCAGCAGCTTCAAGAATTTTATAAGAAACAACAAGAACAGTTGCAGCTTCAACTCCTCCAACAGCAACATGCTGGAAAACAGCCGAAAGAGGTACCGACAGTGCACATTTTACTCTGAAACCACAGATCTCGGGGGACTATCTCGTGGCTATTAAACTGTCATTCATCTTTGAAATGATTGCCCAGCTCAGCTGACTCTATCGGTTCTCGGCTTTCAGACCAAGAATTATTGTCCTGTTTGTGCTAAGATTTCTCGATCCCTGACTTTAACATCACCACCGCTCCGTGGTGACAGCATCAGGAGCAGTGTTCTGGGTTCCTTTGGTACAGCGGAGGACCAGCATGCAGCCAGGGTGGGGAGGGACAAAATTGGAGAAGGACACAGACCTAGTTTTTTTTTTTTTATTTGTTTTGTTTTTGTTTTTGTTTTTGTCATCATTTAATCATTGGTTTGTTTGTTTGATGAACTCAAGTGTTTGGGCAGGTGGCAATGGCCTTTTCCGTTGGCCAGCTAGCTTCTTGTGGTGTCAAGCAAGCAAACAAGACATTTAGAGTGTGATTAAACATGCCCGTCTTCATTTGACCTTTTGCATATTGAGCATGTCCTAATTGCTAAACGCATGCACTTGATAGCATGACTTAAAGTGAAGGGACTTGGTCTCAGGTCACCTGTTCTTAACTGAGGAAAAGCAAACAAGCAAACACTGCACTGCATGTCCTTCTGTGCCCCAGTTCTTTATAGCATTCCTAGTGTGCTACATTTGGCTGCACTGCCCATGCAGGTGATGCTTGGGGACCCATACACCCTGAGACTTTCCCGGGAGGGTTCATCCCCACTTAGCCTTCGGTATGCTCTGTGAGTCCGAGGTGGTGTCACTTTTGGGAGCTGCCCAGGTATTAGGACACCCTTGCACCCTTTCACATTCCACAGTGGCCTGAAAACTTTTGCTTCAGGATCTCACGTTGTGACCACAAAATTTCTAATGCCACGGACAGCGTGCTACCCTCTTTCCTGGCTTTCCTGCCAGCCCTCCACAGTTAGTTCCTTTGCTCTTGTGGGGGCGTCTTGCCAGGTGACGGACTCCACATCCCTGCCCCTCACATGAGTGTGTACGATGGCTGTACACATGGGAGTTTCCCAGACTTTTCTCCCCATGCCAGCTCCTCCCTTTGCACAAATTGGGAACGTTTCCTTTGCTCTGCCAAGTTTCCCCACCCCGGAGTCCTGTTTAGCAGGCTGCTTGTAAACCCCCCGCGGAGCAGGGGCAGTTTTGGGGTAAAGGGAGGAGGCATATTAATGAAAATGCTGACACAACCTTAGGACAGTGGCTCGCTACCAGGCGCTGCTCTAATAAAAAAGGGAACAGATTAAAAAGTGTCTAAAATGTAAATCTAAAGGACTAACAGTAATTAAAATGGAAATGGCACGGGGAGGGAAGGCATGTAATTGTGAGATATCACCCCGCAGAAGGCTCTCAGCTTTGTTTTCCTGGCTGTTTTTCTAATTCAGCGGGGCTTACTCATCAGTGGCAGTTCAATGCGCCTTAATGACTCCGGGATTGCAGGCATCACTCTGGACAAAGAAATGATTATTGTGCGGTCAAAAGAAGTTCAAAGACAAGGAGGGAATTTCAGTTTTTCCCCTTAGAGATCCACATTCAAGAGCATATAAATTAAGCCAAATGTTAAAAACCACAGTCTGAAAGCTGACTTCAAAGTCACAACTCTCTAATTAATGAACTGCGAGCTTCAGTTTGGACAAGTTGGGGTTTGATGCGCCCATAAATCAACATGACAGGCCTGTTTCACAGTCTCAGACAGTGCTTGTCATTGAGTCACATCAGATGTAAACACAGCAGAAAAAAGAAGGGCTACGAAGGAGGTGCAATTGATCAACAGAATTGGTAACAACCCACTTTTGAAGTACATTATGCATGATCGCAGGAAATGGTTACAGCCTCAAGAGGTTTCCCCTTCTGCCGCTGCTTTTTTGAATCCGATTTCTCACAGCCTTCAAAAGGGAGAAGAAGAATCATGGAGTTTCTCCCCCGTGGCTTGCAGGCAATAACCCCCTGTTGTTATTTTGTGCTTCTTTCTTTTCAAAGGCATCAAAATTTAGTTTTTTAAAGATCTTTAACTCTATATTTGAAGATGCACTAGAAAGGGCTGCCACCACCACTCTTATCAGTTACCAGGGGCTGTGTTCTTCCTTCCCATTGCCACGTCTTATTAACCTCTTATTTGGTCTCGTGGACAGAGTTTGGGAAGCACATCCGCGTGCTGGGAAGACATGAAAGTTCAGATGAGCTCCGAGGGCTCCAGAAAGAGGAGGAGTGGGGGAAGTTCCCCCAGTAGAAGAGAGTTCCAGAGGTGCTGTTGTGGGGGGAGCATAAACATGCTAGTGACTTCTGAGTTTGGGCCGAGAGCCATGGCCAAATGAGCATGCTGTGTCCACAGGCAAAGAGGCCCCTGCATTGCAGTAGGCTTTTGTTCTTGTTTGTTTGTTTGCATTTTGAGGACTGGAGGCTTACTGTGGCCCATGGCTTGATGTGGCCTCAGTGCACCTATAGGCAGGCAGACAGGTGGGGTCAGACAAGTGTGTGTCCTTGGGTTTCACTGTGTGTTCATGGCGCCCCCGGACTGTTAGGAGATTCTGCTTCTCTGCGATGTCAAGGGCTTGTGCCCCCAAATCCTCATGCAGGTGACGGTCCCTCCTGTGCGACAGTGAAAGAGTCACATGGTGGCAGCTGTGGTATGACGTGGTGTGATAATTTTGGCAAGGTTTGAACGCAGACCTTGGCAGAGGGAGCCAGTGTGTTCCTTAATGGACTGTCGTTAAAGGCACACCATTTTCTGCCTTCAGGTACTTCTTCTTCCCCCACCCCCCTTTTTTCTGGACTATCTGTGAACTTGTAGCCAGAGCACAGTGCATTTTCTGTTACCCCCTGGGGAAGGTGTTCCTTTGGATATAGGTGTTGATGGTGTCAGAGACGTAGGCAAGGATACCATGGAGGCGCAGCTCCCGGGTCCTGGACTCAGGGTAGTTTGGAAAGTAGATGGGAGAATTCGTCTTAAAATCGAGCTGGGGTGTATGTGGGGGGTGCCATCCTGCACGGTGAGGTGGCTAAGCCGATTGTTTTAAAAGGGCCGTTTGTCCTGGCCAGTTATGACAGTTTATGTTAGGCAGTAGGGAGTAGCCAAAGAAAGGAAAACAGACCTTTGACTGCAGCTCTAGGGAGGGGACCTGAAACGAAAGGTTTATCAGGGCATTTGAGCATTTTAACCCTGCCTGCTGACCTGTCCGGGGACTGTGCAGAGACCTTTTTTGTGTGCATTCAACTGTGAGAAGTAAACAAACGGCCTCGTATCCTGTGTTTGGTAACTGGGTGGGGAACACGGTTTGGCAACCAGTGTTGCTTTTAAATTCTTCTTGGGACAATGGGCCTTGTATACTTTTATATCCTGGCTTTTCAAACGTGGACAGCTTTCATGGGCCTTGCCTAGGGATGGCCACAGACAACAGAAAAAAGCATCAGTCATTTTATATAAATACACAATTTTTAAACATTCATTTACAGTAAGACAGGAAGCACCCGCCCTAGCCTCCACCCCCCCCTTTATATTTGACTTTAACAGGGGCTAATTCCCCAGTCTTTGACTGTGTCTGTATCCCCCTTCTTTAATGTCTTGAGTTAATATCTGTTGAAGAAGTGAAAAAATCCTTTTGACACGAATATACCTATCACTGGGTTTCACATTAATGTGGTAACTTGGGAAGGGGTAAAAACAATTGGATCATTTTCTGCATGCTGTTCTTAAAATGAAAGTACTGGCTTTTCATTTAAATTTATTTAAATTTTTGTTGTTAGTGGTATAGAATTTGTTTTTTGGAGTGAAACTCAATTAACTTTCTCAGTGGCATGGTGGTAAGTCTGAAATTGGTTACTAATATGAGGACGATGGCTTTTTTTTTCCTTATTTTTTTTTAACTGTAAAATAAACTGCACGGAGGCCAAAAGGAAACCACCATTTTTCTCTTCCTTTGAACTTTGCATCAGAAGGCCTCGGTGCACACACCATTTTATGGCCATATCAGATCGAGGTCATGTGTTAGGTTAAAGTGAATGCAGTTGTTTGTAAAGTATCGTTATTAAGCGAAGCAGGCTTTAAAAACCCTGGGTCATCATCTCAGTCGCAAAAGTGTTGCTGTCCTTTGAAATAATATTCAGAATTAAAAAAGAGCTCTTGTGTGTTCCTTAAAGATATATGTGTATATATATGTATGTAGATATACATACACACACATACATACATATTTGGATTCAGTTTGGAAAGGGTTAATTTTTTCCTTTCTAATTGTTAGCTATAGTGTAGCCAAGACCTCCACCTCGATATGATTCCTAGCAGATTTAGGATATTAGATAATTTCCTTCTATTTATTGTATTCCTGCACCATATTATCTTTCTATCACTCAGATAATTACTGAGGAAATCTACATTAATTTTTTTTGGCTGGGGTAAAGCCTGCTAAACACAGGAATGATGTATTGATGTTTTACACAACAAAAGTTTTCCTCCTGTCATTGTCCAGTCAACAGAGATATTTATCATATCTTAAAGCCCCTCCTTTCAAGAACAAAGTGGGCGGGAGACTCGGGATGACTTGGAGGTTGAAACTCAAGCCAACTGAAGGAGCTAAAGTTTGGAGTGCCTGTTCACATTAAACGCTCATGGTGGAGGATGATGTTGTTTGCTAAATTATGAATGTTCGTAATTAAAATCTAGTGGCTGTTTCTATGAAAGATTTACAATGTTATTTCATCGTTTGTCATGGCTAATTAACAATATTAGATGAAGTTTTTCTTCTCCAAAGGTCTGATTTTTTCTCATTTATTTATGTCAGAAGTGATAAACAGTAGTGAAAGGCCCTTGCTGGTGCAGGCAGGGAGGGAGATACCTTGTTCTTTTATACCTCAAGAGTTTAGGGTTCAAATCCTTGCAGACTAGAAGGATGGAATCTCCTTTCTAGTGTGAATAATTACAGATTTCAAAGTCTCTAAAGTTCATGTCTTGACTACAGAAGTCACGCTTTTCCTACTGTCAGGAAAGCAGGCTTGTCACAAGAATTCTTTCCCTAGGGGGGCGGGCAGCAGAAGCGTTAACACAGACCCCTTCCCCCCCTTACCTGTCTTCAGACATAGTATATTGTGTCCCTTTTAAACCTTGACATTGAGTCCTCCACTGAGCTCAGGTTGCAGTCCTCAGGGTTTTTTGAAGGTGGTGGCGAGTTTTGAAACATGCACACTTTTAACCTTCATTGGAAAGTGGCCATCTCATTTTTGCCCCTCACTGTTTCTTGCAGCAACAGCAGGTGGCTACCCAGCAGTTGGCTTTCCAGCAGCAGCTTCTACAGATGCAGCAGCTGCAGCAGCAGCACCTCCTATCTCTGCAGCGCCAAGGCCTTCTAACAATTCAGCCCGGGCAGCCTGCCCTTCCCCTCCAACCTCTTGCTCAAGGTATGCATCCATTACTCGGGAAGCAGCTCCGTGGAGACGGTGGGCAGAGGGGATGGGGTGTTTCTTGATCTCTACCTGCGTGGAATGCGGAGAAGTGCCCACCCGAAACACGCACAGAGAGGCATTAACCAACAATCACAAAAGCAGATTGGTGCTTGCAGTGCCTGTTGGTGTCAGGAGGAAGAGTTCAAGGACCTGGGTGCTCACAAGGGCAGAGTTGCAGTGTTGGGGAAAGGGGAAACTCATGTTCCTTGCTCTTACTAAATGTTTCAATGCAGTCCCTTGGCATTTTGGTTCCCAATGTTGTTGAAACATACTTTTTAAATCATACATATTAAGACATATTTTGCAACATGCAAAGTTCCTTTTTTCCTTCCTTCTTCCTTTCTTGTCTCTGAACATACACCCTTCTCTTCCTTCCTCCCTTCCTCCCTTCCTCCTTCCCTGGCTTCTTTTCTTCTCCCTCTCTGATAGGATTTCTGACATAGCTCAGGCTAACCTGGAACTCACAATCTTCCTGCCTCCACCTCCTGAGTTCATGATCCTGGGCTCCTCATTTAAATCTTGGTAATATTTTATATAAACACCATTTAAAACTATTTATTATTACATTTTTATTTGCATGTATGGCTATGCACTGTGTGTGCCTGATTCATGTAGAGGCCAGAAGAAGGCATCAGAACTTCTGGGACTGGAATTAGATGGTTGTAAGTTGCCCTGTGAGTGTTAGGAATGGCACCCAGGGCCTCTGGGAGAGATGCCTTAACTGGGCAGCTCTTTAGTGCCCTAGATACCCGTTTTTAAATATTTAGGCACACTGCCATCTTTATGTCCACCATGGATGTTAAAATCCTTCTGGTTTCTGAAAATTAGCAGAATATTTTTGTTCTGTTTCTGTTTCTTTTTTATATTTTTCTGCTTATTTTAGCTAATGAATTGAGCACTTATTTCCAGTTTCTTTCTTTTCTTTCTTTTGTTCATTCTTTCTTTCTCAGTTATTTTTTTTATAAACTTTCATTCCTTGAAGAGGATTAAAGATTTTTGGTGTTTTTCATTTGTTTGTTCGTGTGCTTGCTTTTTGTTTGTTTGTTTTGTCTTTAATTCTTTATTTGTATGGATGGATATTTTTGCCTGCATGTATGTCTGTGCACCATGTGAATGCAGTGCCTATGGATGCCAGAAGAGGATGTCAGGTCTTTGGGAACTGGAGTTAGAGATGGCTGTGAACTGTCATATGGGTGCTGGGACTCTAACCCGAGTCCTATGGGAAAAAGTCAGTGCTTTTAAACAATGAGAAATCTCTCCAGCCCTGAAAAGTGTCAATGTTTAATAGATAAGATACCTTGAATCTTCTTTGAAAGTTGCTGGCATCAGAGACAAAGGGAATCTAGATGTTCTTAGGAGCCCCTGTGGGTGTAAGCAGCTCTGATTTACTCAAGACTAAAAAGGGGAAGGGGGAGAGGATGTTGGAAGGCCGTGACTGTGACTAAAGGCCAGTTCCCTTGTTCCAAATACCCATTGTCCTATGCATGCCCAGTCCACATTCTCAGACTCTCCCAAGTACACACTGAAAAAAAGAAAATAAGCCATACTGATATCTGTGCTGAACATGGATAGATGTCTTGCTTGCTATTCTACCAGTAGTCAGAGATAGCAATGATTTAATTATTCACATAGTATTGAGTACCATAATTAATGTAAGGTTGATTTAAATCTAAACAAGGATGTTCATGGGATCTTTCAGATATCATGGCATCCTCTCCTCTCTTTTCTTTCCTTTCTTCCTTCCTCCATTCCATTCTGCCTGTCTTTCTTTCCAGACAGAATCTCTTGCTTTGTAGCCCAAGGCTGGCCTCCAACTCCTGTCTCAGTCTCCTGAGCAACAGCTGAGAATTTAGGTGTGTACCAAGACCCAGTCTGGCATATATCTTTTTCTGTGAGGGATCTGAGCATCCTTGCTCCATGATATTCACTGTGGGATCCTACAAATACGCAAGAATAGCTGTGTGTGGTACTGCCAATTCCACGTCCTTAGGGCCCGCAGTTCTTGCTGTAGCGGATCTGGACTTGCACTGGATAGATTGGAACTTCGGCTTCCTAGGATTTGCCCTAGGAAGGCACTGGATTCACTTGCCTCCTGAAGCTGGGTGAGAATGATGGGTCTCTTTTGTACTGCCGAAGAGACAGTCATTTGTCTAGAAATTTTTGGTGTTGCATGGAGCCAGTGAGGCGTGTCTATTTGGGTTTTGTCTCCCCAGTCAACCACACCCAACATCTGTCCCTTAGGGGTTTTGTTGTTGTTTTTCTTTGCTTTTAATGCTAGGACGGGGGCTCTTCACCCCTTTCACTTCCTCCTGCCCTCCCACCTGTCCTTGCCTTGTCTGCTGTGCTGCTTGGCATCTGAGAGGCCTCTCCTCCCTTGCTGTCTGGTGGGAAGAAGTGGGAACTGAACACAGGGCAAAGGAAGGACACTCGCTAATGCATGTTTTGTGCTTGCATAATGTTATAACCTGCCTTAATTACACCCTCTGGTTTATTGTTGGAAACGTGGAAGGCCGTTCCGACACACCCACCACACTCTGGCTTCTCGCGCTCTCTCGTCTTTTCCCATCGCTCCTGTACTATTAAGTTTGCTCACTAAGGTTCATTGTTACAGTACATCAGTGAAGCTGTCCTAAAAGAGGGCAATTGGGCAGTGACAAGACAAGCTCACATGTAATGCCGGAGAAATGAATGTGCTGATGCATGCAGTGTAATCTCTGCAGTGGCACATCAGAGACCCCGTCGGCAGCACGCCGGCCGCGGCATTGATGGATATGCTGAGCAGTCTGCTGTAACTATTAGCGCCTGCAACATTAGGAAAGGCATATGCAGAGTCTAAGGGGTGTCTGCATGTGTGTCCGAGACGGCATGCGTGTGAATGCTGGTATGGGTGGCATTGGGTGCTGGGTGTAAAGGGGACCACAGTTAATGCTCTCCCTCACGAAGCAGGAACTCACTTGGGTCTCCCCAGCCTCCTCTGCACAGTGGCTTGAGAGCGTTCAGTCACGTTTGAACTACAACACAATTCTTTTTTATCCGAGAGCTGATGGCTTAAAACTGATGTCATTATGAGGTTTAAATCAACTTTCTGCTTGCTTGAACATGGTCACCTGGGTACGGACGTACAAGGACAGAAAAAGGCTGATCAACTGTTTGTCTTGGAGCCAGTGATACCTGGGGTTGTAAAATTGAGTTCCACAAGCAGTAATCTGTCAACTGTCCCCGCAACATACATTTTTTAAACCTGTGCCTGCATTTTCTTTTATAATGAAGGGACAGGTTGTCCTAGAAAAAAAAAAAAAAGAAGAAGCAAAAGATTAAAAAAAAAAAAAAGAAACATTATACGGCACCAGGGCGAGGTGTCTGAAAGTGCTAGGAGGGCTCGCTCCATAATGAAGCCATCAGGACTCTCCCACATCTCCTGCATGGCCCTGCCAAGTTACCTTAAGCCTGTGTGTAAATCCGGAAGTATGGGCATAGTGAGTGATATCTTAAAGGCCTTTTTCTGGAGAGTTTATATACTATAGTATATAATCTAGTATATATGCTAGAGTGTTTTTCCTTTTGGATTATTCTAGAGCAGTGGTTGTCAACCTTTCTGAGGCTGTGACCCCCTTAATACAGCCCTCGTGTTGTGGTGACCCCCAACCATAAAATCACCTTTGTTGCTGCTACATGGCTGTAGTTTTGCTGTTAGGATGTCATTCAGCCCTGGTGAGAACTGCCGCTCTGGAGCCTCCTCTTCGTTTACTAACAAGTCTCTCTGTTCTCATCCAGTTTCATTCAGCATTTGATTGTCCTTAATACCAGTAGTTTTATACAGAAATGTCCCATTTCTGTTATTACAACCTTTTAATTTTTTTTTTAAATGTAAACTCTACCTACTTTGCTATGTACCAATTGATGGATTCATCTAGTTTGATACACTTACTGTACCATTCTGGAAGAAACACGTGATACTTAAAAAATGGAATCCATGTAGTCTGATGGGTATCAGCTTAGCTGCTGTCTGTCTTCACCTGTCATGAGGTGTAGTCATCCTGCAGTGGCTAGTAGTCACTGAGTAACAGTGACCTGGAAAGGAGGAATCTAACCAACTGCTTCAGTCTTCAGTCCATGGAGTGTGTTTGAGCCTAATGACCACATTAACATTTGCCCCAGAATGCTGTTGTCGCTCATTGGGTCCCCCTTTCTACTTGGTCCATGTGGAACCCGATTTGCCAGCCTCCTGGAATAGAAGAAAAGCAGGCTCCCACCACTGCATGTGCAGGTGGAATGCGTGGTGAGCACATTTGTCTTGTTGTTAATTTGTCAGAGAAGAGCTATCCCTTTGGAGTAGCCTCCAAGTCTTGTTCTTCTCAGAAGGAAAGTGTGAAGGCAGCTGTTGGTAGACCCATGTTCTTCCCCTTGCAAGTGACCCAGAAATCAATTAGTCGGAGTTAAAAAATAGGTGGCTATGTCTTTTCCTGTGTTCACTCACCGGAAAATAAAAATAGGTGTTGACTTCTCTGCCTTCATACCAATACGCCCTCATCTATAGACCAGCCTGTTCCCCGTTGTTTCAATTGAGTAAACCCTGGTCCCAGGGTCAGCTTTGTTTACTGGTAATTGTCAGTGTGTGGATCACAGTGGCAGACCTGCTAGCGGTAGGCACATCCTACCTGTCACTTTGAAAAGGGGTTGAAAATAATAGCTCACACGCAGCAAAACTGTACCCAGGATTGTGTCGTGACCTTTCCCTTTGGTTAATTTGCCTCAAGGTTTGATTTCAGGGGACAAGGAATAATTGAATATGCCTAATAACTAAATGTTCATTTGGGACAAAATCCATCAAAATATAATTGGCATTTGATTTTTATGAAGGGAGAAGGAAACCCACTCAGCTGTCGAGGATGCATTTGAAGGATCTCTGACCACTCGATGTATTATTTGATGCTCCCTTTATAATATATATTAATTGCAAATACTTGAGCATTTGAACATTTTCCCGGAGCACTGCTTGGAGAGACCAACTGTTTTTGTTACTGCTCCTCTTAGAAAGGCGGGGAAGATTATTGGTCTGCTGTGCAATAATTTACTCCTCTTTGATATGCAAACGATCCACGGTGAATATAAAAAAATCCTATCAGACTCATTTCACAGTTCTTAACCACTCGGATTCTCTGGAGTCCGTCGCCTCATTAGACCAGTGCTCTCCAATGCTAGCATAATTAAAATCTTTAACAGTTTAGCAAAGTAAAGATGTTTGGCTGATCACGTTGAGATGATTATCTAGCCATTGTATTCTAAATGACAAAAATAAATTAAATTTAGACCTTGGCATTTTTTTATTATGTGTTTCAAATGAATATAACGCACACAGCCTTCTTTTTCCCAATCCAGTACGTTTTGGTTTGGTAGGAAATAAGCCTGTTTCGGCTGTTGCTGTCTAACCAGAAAATGGCTGGCTCTCTGGGAGCGCTGATGGGGACAGTGACCTGCAGCCCAGGCATGCAGTTCCGAGGTGGAGTTGCCTTGGAATGTACGGGGTGCGTGGCTGCTTTTCCTCCTTCAGAGGAAGCTGTAGCTTCTGCTGTTCTTAGGTGCAGTTCGGAACCTGTCTCTGGTCATTAAGACCAACCTAAAATACACAGTGAATTGGAATTTGGGAAGTCTGGCTTGTACCGGCTTTGCTGGATGGGATAAAGATACAAAGGTCCACGGTGATGAGGTTAACATACTGATGGGATCTCATCTTAGAGAAAATAATGGTTGACAAGTGTTTCTTGGAGACCCCTGCCCATTTTGACCCCATTCACGCAAACAAGAGAAGTTTGTTACTCTAAGCTTATTTTCCTTTCCATTTTACTCTGCAATGGCTCATTAGCATTGATCTCAAAAATGACAGTAATAATAGTGTTACTTGTATAAAAAGTTACACAGTCTTCAGTAGACACATCCATCAATTAAGCATGTGGTACTAGAAACCAAAATTAATGAGGAAGATAGGTGTGTTAATGAAATAATCATAGTATAATCAATTTGACTGTTAAAAGTTGAAAAGCATTTCAGGAAGATGGTATGAATTCATAATTTATGTCTAAAAGTGATTAATACAAACTATATTTAATAACAAAGCTATTTGTCATCATTTAAGACTTAAGCACAAAAATTACTCATTTTGTGGCTCATGTTATCGTGAGCCTATAGTTGAACAAATTTATTTTGAGGCCTCCTATGTGCCTAGAAGTAAGCTGGCCTGCCTTCGCTCTCCTAAAACTGAGAAACAGCCTTTGGATGGAGGGAGCCATGCTGTTGCAGAATAGCAGTTGCTTGCATCCTTTTCAAGGTGTCTGTTCTATGCGAAGAGGGGACTTCAATGGCTGCTCCGTGGGAGGGTGCACTTATCACTACCATATTTGCGTAGTTGGGAGGGAAAAAGGGAAAGTGTGAACACCCTAAAGCCCCCCCTAACACTAAGCTTTGTTTACTGACTCTTTGATTTAATTACTGTTTGAAGAGGGACGGAATTAGCTGTTAATTGATTTGATTATCCAATTTGTTTGTTTCAGGCATGATTCCAGCGGAACTGCAGCAGCTCTGGAAAGAAGTGACAAGTGCCCACACTGCAGAGGAGACCACAGGCAGCAACCACAGCAGCCTAGACCTGACCAGCACATGTGTCTCATCCTCGGCACCTTCCAAGACCTCCCTCATCATGAACCCACACGCCTCTACCAATGGACAACTCTCGGTCCACACTCCCAAACGGGAAAGGTAGGCCCCTGTCTGCGCTCAGTACTGTCATCCCCCTGGAAGGAGCAGTTGGCCTTGCCCAGTTCTTTGTCTCTGGGAAACCTCATTGTACTCATGGGGCTTGAATGTGCATATGATTACTCCAGAATGTATTCACTTTGGTTTGGGTGTGAGGCATCTAATTATTTGCACCTTTCCAACATGGGGTTAGCATTTTCTCAGATGTACGCTCATCTTGGGAGCCCTGGCAGGCTCTAGTGGTTCCTCATTGGAAGGGTTGGCTCCCAAGGCTTTCAGGTCAACTGTGTGCTTCACCAGGAGCTCACTCCATGCAAAGTGAGCACCTTGGCTCGGAGCACCTTCGGAGGCGACAGTGCTGTCTGCTATGGACAATTTCAAGTCTTGTTTTGAGGAAGCCAAGTGCTTACTGCTAGTATGTACTGCTCCCCCTTGAAGTGAGGGAACCCATGTTTTTCTCCATGTGTCAGACGGAAGTGAAGGAAGCCTGAGTCTCTTGGGCATAGACACTAAGGAAAGATTTAAATGATGGTGAGTTGGCCTCAAGCTCACTTTCTCATGATGGGCCTAGAGTTAGCTTTGTGCCGTCTGGTGCGTTCCTGTTTATAAGTTAAGGCTTTATGTTTTCAATGCCCTGAGCTCTTGTTGAAGCTTGGACTGTTTTAAGATCCTGACTGCGTTGTGTTCCTTAAGGCCCCAAGGAAAGGAAGCTGTTTGTTCATTGTGTTTTACTCAGAAGCAGTATTGCCAATGTTGAAATATGCTTCAGAAATGGAATATATAATGTTCTTCAAGTGGACCAATTTTTTTTTTTTACTGTTTACTCTTTTTAGACCCTTTCTTATATATTTCATATGTGGAGCTTGCAGACACAGAGGGCAAGAAGCCTTACCAAAAATTCTCCCAGCAAAATACTTTTATCAGGCAAAAGCAAATTTGCTATTTTTTTTTAAGTCCAAATGACTTGGTGAAAAAGTTTTGCTTTTATCTATCAGCTAAGCAAGAATAGTATCATTTCATACATTTTCTAAAATACTGAGCACTGTGCCCTCTGTTTTAACTAGATATGCATTGCTATATTAGAAAAATGCTGTCTGAAATACAATGTATAATGCTACATAATTACATAGTGATGTATTGGTATGTGCCCACCTGCACAGTGGTGGCCAGATAATATAATGGGAATGAAAAACCCTTCACTGATAATGTAGCCATCGTAGCTGCGCAGATGGAAGCATCGCCCCAGTGGTTGTGGCCGTGGTCATATACTCGGCCTGTTGTGTGTAAAGTGTCGCACGTACGGTGATAAATAAGACATAACCCTTGACAGTGATAATGTGATCAGTCAGTGTGCTTACTGTACTGTGCTGTGTAATTGTTACTTAGGTTCTATTCTTCCCGTAACTCTCAAATATATTTCACCGTGTTGGTGTGGCAGCAACCTCCAGAATTGTGTGTCACCTCATGCCTCGGCTGCATTGTGGGTTTTTTGTTTTGTTTTGCTTTGTTTTTTGCATTTGGTTTAATATTGGGTGGTTGGGACTGTAAGAACAGTCGATGATGGTACCACGTGTGTTTGCACATGCACACATAGCCTCGATGTGTAGTCTTGTATCATTTAGGTCTTCATGGGTATATGCTGTGATGTTGCTCATGTCTCAGAATGGCACATATAATTATGCATATCTCCTGAGTGGCACATATACTTATGCATGTCTGTGTATGTATCAGATTTGAGCTTAAAGAAAACATCAGAGGTTTTCAGAGATGAGGATAATACATGTATGTTATAACTCTAATAACGGAAAGCCTCCTTGAAGATTTCTTTGGAATGTCTCTGGTAGTCATGGAAAGTACGAAAATATGCTTTAAACCTAGTGGTCTAGAAGGGATTGAAGAATAGAACGGTGAACAGGATCAGTTTGTAGCCTGGTCCAAGCACAGCTTCCTGTGCTTCCCGCTTTCCAGTGGAGAACACGTGTACCTGGAAAGCAGTCATTAGTTTTGCCCTAGAATCTATTATAATGTCTTTATTTCTTTTCTTCTTTTAATTTCCAAGTAGCAAACCTTGGATGGCTTTAGCAGAAAGATTCTAGGCTGCTGCCCTTTGTGGCAGTGGCTCTCCCTGTCCCGAGGTTGGTGCTGTCCATTTACTGCAGAGTGATTGAATTACATCTTTATCCATAGGCGGAGCAGGAGGCCGGGCCCTGAAAAATGCCGACTGATGCACTTAAGGTATTTGTTGCAATCTTGTCGGCTGCTGTGGAGACTGCACAGATTTTCCACGACCCAGAAAAGTCTCCTTGTTTAGATGCGCTGTGCTCAGTTTCCTCTTAAAAGGTTCTCTATCTGCAGTCCGATGGTAGAGCAGCAAGGAGGCAAGCTGGGGAAGAATAGGCCTTTTCATGTCTTCAGACACATTTGAGAGTAAGTGGATCTAAGACACAGTCTAATTCCTGCAGACTAAGTTTGTTTGATTTTTTTTTATGGTCCTTATTTGTCTGCACAAATGTTGCATTTAATCTTACGCTAAAATTAGACTGTGGATCAGAAGAGAATCGAGAGTTCCACCAGCCTGAATCTGGATGTGAGAACAGGCTGAGTTCCTGTTACACATGCAGGGATGAGGGAACTAGGAAATTATATGATGTTAGTTACTCCCTTGATTGTCCCATTTCCTATTATCTGCTCCATCGACGGTGATGGCTAGATTCAAGGAAAACTCAAGCAAGCACTTGATTTTAATTTTTGGTGAATGCAGGGCCTTGGACATGTTAAGCAGAAGCTTTATCACGAAAGTAAAATCCCTGCCTTGTACTAGCCGCCTTTGAATTGATTATAATACCTTAGGTTAAACATAGCGTAGTAGCTTTAATCGTGTAGAATTGATCATTCTACAATCAACAATCTTTAAGCTGGTTTCATATACAGGTACCTAAAAATGAGTATTAGCCTGTCCTTCCCTTCTTGGGTTGAATATTTATTCATTTATTGGCAAGGCCGGGGACATGCTAGGCTGGTGGTCTACCACTAGCCCAGCCCCTTCATATGGTGTATTTTACAATCCCATAGGTGGTGGCCACCTTACGAGTCAAAGAGGGTAGCAAAGGGAAGCAATAAGAAGGAGGAGATTGCCGCTATGGAAGTATGTTCTCATGTGCGTACCTAGCTGTCAGGGAGACACCTCAGAAGTTCTCCTTGCTGCCACGAACACCTTTTATCCCTTCCTCTCTAGAGCATTTGTGAAATAATGCATCCTTACAGGCTCCCCTGTGATTGCCAGGGGATACTCTTTCCCCCCACCCTCGAGCAGTAACCACACAAGCAGGAGGCCTTGCCACCATGCACAGTAGTCCAGCCTGGCAAACTCCGTCCTCAGTGAGCAGCCTTCAGGGGATTGTTTTCCTGAAAAGATCTAGGAGTGTTGTGTGTGAGAATTGGTTGGAGAGAGAAAGAGAGAGAATTTTTTTTTTTAAGTCATGGGATGTGTAAGGCTCTTACCTGGCTCACATATCTCCATGCCATTTGGAAACCTCCATCTTCCCACTCTCGCTTGCCCCGTACGTTTTGCAGCCTCTGTGAGCAGCCGCCGCCGCAGTAGCTCTGGGGTTTGGTGAGCTGCAATCTGTTAAAGAGATAAATAATGTGCTTGGCACGGCACTCCTACTCTCCTCTTTAATTTGTCTTACACAAGGAAAATTATAATTAAATCATTCAGGGTAAACCCTTGAGTGCAGAGAAGGGAAGAAACACACTTTGGTAAAGATTGCCAATAGAAACCCACTTCCCTGTTGTGCAGGGTGGAGACGTCCATCAGTATTCAACAGTATGCGAGGAGGAACGGCCCATGTGATTTGTGAGGCGGATGCCAACACTCAGATCAAGGCTTGTTAAGATCCTGTCCCCGTGCAATCATGGACGGTCAGCATCGTTAGAATTCAGTGCGGTGCCACGCTTCCTGCTTTGAGTCTCTCCTGACAATTTAATAATGTTTATCGTGCTGATTATATATAAAGCCATTGGTGCAATAAACACCCCTGTTGTCAGTGCCTCAGAGGAGCACGGTGGGATCAAGTTGAGCATGCCCAGAGCTAAAGGAGAGGCATGGGAGGAAGCAGGTGTGTTCAAAGCCTCCTTGCCCATGCACTGCTGCTATAGAGTCACGACCTCTTAATAGACAGAAGTGAGACCTGGGATGCCTGTACACATGAAGACGTTACCTTGTTCACTTTACTTGAGGAAACAGTCCCTTCAGGAAATTCCAAGTTTTGGTGTGGGTAAACAGAACCAACAGAATGCAAATGAAACATTTATTAAAATGCTAAATTTAGTAAGCCCTTTGAGCCTCTTGGATCAAAGCAGCTATGTAAATACAAATAGCAATTACTACTTAAGTAATTGCCTGAATTAAAATTCTAAATATCACATTATATTATGCTGCACCAGGAAGGGAAGGCACATTAAATCAGTCCCTTCCTGCTTGCCCGTTGCCGCTAGACTCTTGCGTATGGACTCATGGCTTTTTTTATTCACAGGACTACTTTGGGTGCAGTGGGGCCTGTCACCCATTGTACAGACAAGGAAGTTGAGTCGCAGAAACCAACAACGGCTCTACAGTTATACGACTGTTCTAGTGTCATACTGAGATCCATAATCAGACCTGATTTAAAAATTTTTCCATTCAGTATAGAAATGAGTACCTAAGTGAAATTAAAAACCCATGTCCCTAAGAGAAGCTTTAGATTTAATTGCAATTCAACCAAACATCAATTATAGCTTATTATTTTGTACAGGTTACAACATATAAAGGAAAACAAGCCCCTACATGTTTTTCTGTAGATAAAAATAGTTCCTTAGTCTTTTTTACCTTTGATGAAGGGAGGTGAGATTTATAAGATATAAATCACTATCGTCTGAAATAGTACACAAGGTGAGAAAACAAATCCCCTGCAGGAAATGCACACAGACAAATGCAAGCAAGCCCGTGCCTTTGCAGGCATTCC